CGAGCCCGGTTTGGGTTTTAAAAAAAACGGGGGGATGGGGCGGGGGGGCCGGGAGTTTCCGGGAAAAAAACGGGGGAAAGTGGATGCAAAACATGGAAAAAATGCACAGGGAAAGAAAGCACCCTAGGGGTGGAGGAAATTTCTAGAGAAAAAGGAAAAATGTTCCCCTGCTGCCACTAGGGCAAAAACCCCCCACACACATACACAAAAAACATACCCCAAAATTTAAAAATATCTTTTTAAAATTTAATGCTGTTTTTGTTTTTTTTTTCCCTGTCCATTTTAAACCCCACCACAACCCCCTTTTTCACACCCGCCTTTTTCCCAAACCCAAAAAAAAAACCCCCCTTTTTTCAACCCCCTTTATCCCCAAACCCCCTTTAACCCCCCGCTTCACACCCCGCTTTATCACCCCCCCTTTTCACACCCGCTTTATCCCCCCGTTTAAACACCCCGCTTTTTTCCACCCCCTTTTTTCATAAATTTTGTTCCCCGCCTAAAAAGGGGCTGCCCAAATTTTAGTTCCCGAAGATTCATGTCCTGAAGGGTGTAGTCATTTTCCTGAAGGGGGCTATTGGGGCATGTCCGAAAGTTTTATTTTATGTACTGAAAGGGGGTTTTTTGTCATGTACTGAAAAAGGGGTTATTGTATGTACCCGAAGGTGCTATTTTCCTGTCCTGGAAAAGGGGTTTTTTGTCCCTGTAAGAAGGGGCTAAATTTTTTCCCTGTTCCCCGAAAGGGGTTATTTTCTGTACTGGGAAGGGGTTATTGTTTAAAAGTACTGAAGGTGCTATTGTCTGTCCTGAAGGTGCCATATTAATTTCCTGAAGGTGCTGTAGTCTGTCCGAAGGGGCTATAGTCAAAGTCATTGGGAAGGGGGGGTATAGTCATGTCCGGAAAGGGGTATTCATGTCATGGGGGTGCTAAGTCATTTTTCCCCGAAGGTGCTTTTGTCCTGTCCCCTTTAAGGGGCTATTTTTCATGTCCCAAGGTCTATTGCTATTGTCATGTCCTGAAGTTACTATAGTAATGTCCGAAGGCTATAGGTCATGCCTGTAGGTGCCTTGTAATGTCCTGAAGGTGTACTATATAAGTCATGTCCTGAAGGTGCTATAGTCTGAATGATCAATGAAGAACGCGTGCTATAGTCATGTCCTGAAAGGTGCTATAGTCATGTCCTGAAGGTGCTATATCATGTCCTGAAGGTGCTATAGTCATGTCCTGAAGGTGCTATAGTCATGTCCTGAAGGTGCTATTGTCATGTCCTGAAGGTGCTATAGTCATGTCCTGAAGGTGCTATAGTCATGTCCTGAAGGTGCTATAGTCATGTCCTGAAGGTGCTATAGTCATGTCCTGAAGGTGCTATAGTCATGTCCTGAAATTGCTATAGTCATGTCCTGAAGGTGCTATTGTCATGTCCAGGTGCTATGTCAGTCCTGAAGGTGCTATAGTCATGTCCTGAAGGTGCTATAGTCATGTCCTGAAGGTGCTATAGTCATGTCCTGAAATTGCTATAGTCATGTCCTGAAGGTGCTATTGTCATGTCCTGAAGGCGCTATTGTTATGTCCTGAAGGTGCTATTGTCATGTCCTGAAGGTGTACATTATCGTCAAGGTTTCGTGGCTGTCCCTTTGCTCGTGTAGATCTTTCGAGATGTAGTACTTGTGATGGTATATAATGTTGCTGCATTCTAACGAGATGGCCAACCCACTTGATCTGCTGTGAATCAAGCACAAGGTGTGGTTCCCACAACCTCTCTGATATTTTCGTTATTTACTCAGTCTCGGACTGGAGGCTTTTCTCAGGCATCTCGTCTCGCCAGTGGCAACGGCAAAGGTGTCCTTACATGACCACGACAACATATCGATATTTTTGCCCCGCGTTACGTGGACCATAATGCCACCCATCCCCGATAAGCGTTGATGCCTGCATTGCGTGAGTATTTAACTAACCTTTAAGCCACAGAGCCACGCTCTTTGTCGTAAAACATTCTTGTAATGTTAAATCCTTAATTTGTGTTTCCATACAAATAGCATGCCTTCCAAATACCAGCTGACCAGTCAAAGCTTGGGACCTGTGCTGCTGTATGCACTGCTGATGACCACTACCTACGGATTGGAGGGTGACCCATCGCAGACATTGGAAACTTGTGGAAGCCAGAAGAATCCCAACAACAATGTCGTTGATTTAAGCGACCCTGTCACGCCAGGGCCATTTTGTGATCTAACCACTAGCGAACTACAGAAGGTAAACCCTTTTATATTCACCCCCTCCATCCTCCCCTCTCATGAGAGCTAATAGACTGAAATGGTTGGAGCATATTGAGAGAATGTCAGATGACAGAGAAGTACAAACTGTATTCACAAGGGAGATGAATAGAGGTAGACCACGAGGCAGACCAAGAAGAATATGGCCAAATAATGTCCAGACAGACCTGCAAACACTTGGTGTCACCAACTGGAAAGAGAAGACCAACTAGAGAGATGAATGGAGGCGGGTGATATCTGCAGCAATGATCCTCAAGGACTCGGAGTGCTGAAGAAGAAGAACAAGAAGAAAATAACAACACATGGAGACTAGAATTAAAGGTCAGGTCCATCTACCCTGTGTCAAATCTGGTCATAGACCAATGAAAAGTTTCACATTTTAAATAGAAACAGTCAAAAAGTACACAAAGGGAACGGGGGATGAAAGGGCTAATGTCTCTCAGTCCCTTTCGAGGAAGCAAAGCAGGCCGAGGGAGGGATCATAATGCTTGAGAATATGGTACTAGATCCAAGCTTTTAGTGATCGTGAACATATCAAGCCAGTCGTCTTTACTTCCTTGAACATTTCCTGTCACACGTTGTAGACTGGGTCGACATGGAAACCCCTAAGTCAGTTACACAAAACCCTCCCTTGTGCTGACTGGAACCCAAGACATTCAACTGCTTGTTAGTACCTGTTCGTCCTTCCAGACGATAGTGTTATATTGTGCTTTAAGAAGGCTCAGGACTCACAGCCCATGGCGATGGCGAGTGTCACTAGCAAGACCCGCCTGCGTTAAGAAAAGTTTTCCACAGTTACAACAGGGGATTTCAGAACCGTTGTTGCTATCCCATTTATTTAGTATGTTTCTTCTCAGTCGCCAAACTCTTATCCATTCTGCAATAAGTTTTGTTTTCTTGCATTCTCTTCCTGATCCGTCCCTCCACACAGTCCATGGCACGTTGTTCCCACGAATCGACCTCAATGCCTATATCATTAGTACGCCACTTGCACACATCTTTATATTGTAGTAGAGGGCGTTCCCGACATAATCTATCCATGTGTTATTCACCAGAGAGGATGTCCCAGATCAACTAATACATCCTGTAATTCATCATTCACCCCCACCCACCCCTGTTCCCCAGTTACGTCTGTTTCTGGAGAAGGATCCGAACATCAGAGCTTCGAGTGAAGAGCCTCCAAGAGTCAACGCCAGCTACATCCACTCTGTAGACTTGCTGGTGCCACCCAAGGCTGAAGTGCTCAAATACCTGGACACACCTGGAGGTAATACCTATGTGTCACGTGGGTCAACAAGGCACCACCTCCCACACACGCGCAACACTTCTAATATCATCATCATCACCTTCATCATCAGGTGCTTTGCCGATTGACGTAGACTATTCTACATGTTCCAGTTGGTCACAACATGTTCCAGTTGGTCACAACATGTTCCAGTTGGTCACAGCATGTTCCAGTTGGTCACAATATGTTCCAGTTGGTCACAGCATGTTCCAGTTGGTCACAATATGTTCCAGTTGGTCACAGCATGTTCCAGTTGGTCACAACATGTTCCAGTTGGTCACAGCATGTTCCAGTTGGTCACAACATGTTCCAGTTGGTCACAGCATGTTCCAGTTGGTCACAACATGTTCCAGTTGGTCACAACATGTGCCAATTGGTCACAACATGTGCCAGTTGGTCACAATATGTTCCAGTTTCCCTAGTGTGTGTGTGTGTGTGTGTGTGTGTGTGTGTGGGATAAGCTATCTTCGAGCATTCACCTCTTTCAAAACATCCAGGTTGCACATTTTGGCTGTCGAATGAATTCTAAGGAATCTTCTGTAACACCACATCTCTAAGCTCCTCAAGAAATTGTTTGGCATCTTTATTATTGTCAAGGATTCACAGTCATGTGTTAAAGCCCTTTATATATTCACAGTCATGTGTTAAAACCCTTTATATATTCACAGTCATGTGTTAAAGCCCTTTATATATTCACAGTCATGTGTTAAAACTCTTTATATATTCACAGTCATGTGTTAAAACCTTTTATAAATTCACAGTCATGTGTTAAAACGATTTATAGAACAGGCAGGAATTATATTGTCCCTTACACCAATGCCATTGATTTATTCAAGAAAATTTTCTTCCTATAAAAAAATGCGATTTTAGCCTGTCTATTCTATTGTGGGTCCTCTGAAAGTACTGGAGAGTTTTGGGAAATGCCATTCTGGTCTCAAGACTCAGTGAAGGGAAAACCCCAACTGCACCTCCTCGCGGTAGAGGACGGTAAACACACCGCGGTGTGGCCAACGCAGCTATGGGGACCGAGTATCCGCCGGGATAAGTGGACACCTCTGAGTTGCCCTCTGCTGTTAGCAGGAGCATCACAGGGCAGGGCACTCACTTGCCCTAGCAATCGAAAAGGTTGCTGAAGGCTGAGGACGTAGTCTAAAGCCATGTGGGTGTGGAAAGCAACGGGAAACTACCACATTACTATCCCAAGAAACTCATCATGGAAGCATGGTACCAGGAAGGAGGGGCAGGGGGGGGGGGAACCGACACGAAGATGGGCACAGGATATAAGTGACTCCATGAGTATGAAAGTATATGAGGCAGGAGAACTGGCGAGAGACCGAGTTTCTTTCACGACGACCGTGATGAGAGCGACGTTCTGCAAAGGGCCTGCTACATGATGATGATTCTATTGTGGAAAAATTCTCTGGCACTTCGCGGCTGATACGTTAAACGTAGGTGAGTCATAAGATGTTCAATTTTGCCTGTCTATTCTAGTATGGACTAATTCTCTGGCACTTGGTGGCTGATACGTTAAACGTAGGCGAGTCACAAGATGTTCAGTTTAGCCTGGATCGACCTGGCATGCTAGATCAATTGTAGAAACAATCCTCGAAGGGATTTAGATAAATGAGCCAGGGATCTGCGTCAGGCCACACAACGATAGAACATCGAAGACTCCATTTGAATCAAGTATAAACAAACAAGTAGATATAGTCAGTTGACAAGACCTATAGGGACTTCAAACACGAGGCATTAAAAACAAAAAGGAGTTTGTAGGCTGATACATGATATCTCACTGCGATGGAGACAAACTACATAAGCTCACAAGAGACTGCAGATTTTTAGACAATGAATATTACCCGCAAGGAAGTTGCTTTCATTGGAAACACACATACACACACTTACACACCGCACAAAACAGACACCAAAAACAAAGACACACACACACACACACACACACCACACACACACACACACACCACACATAAACTGCATGTAAATATGGTGTACGTTTTACTAGTTTTATAAGAGGAATTAACGGACATGTTCTAGTCTGAAGGAGGGGAAAAACAAAGAAGAGCGAGAGGGAGACGATCAAAATATAGCAAGGAGGAAAAGAAAAAAGAGAGAAAGCAGCAGTAGTAATATTAGCATTGTAGCAGCAGCAGTAGCATTGCATAAGTGAAGTAGAAACTATACCGCTACTGAAGATGTTGCTAACAACATGACTATTGAATCGTAGCCATCGTACTAAAGTTTGGCTATGATTGAATCAACTTGTTGACAGCCAAACAACCAATCAGAAAGGCCCGTGTGGTTGTTTCGAGAGGAGACAAGAATCCGCCTGTTTTTGAAGAATACGTTTGCTGGCCACTTCCGAACGTCGACAATTGTTCATTGTTGGTGTGGAAGTCCAGAAGGAATCCTGTAGATTTTGCCTACAGGTAAGTTTGACCAGAGTTGTTGTCCTCTTGCTGTGAGCTTGTCACCTTCTGTCTTCTAACGCCCTAGGGTGCAAGGGCTTTCAACCAACTCACGCCAAGTGGTTCTATCCTTCGCTATCGCATGTAGCTCTCTCCTTGTCCTCGCGAACTTTGTAACTTCACTGTCTAGTCCCTTCTCCGTGTGTTTGTTGGTCTTTCTGTATTTCTATGCTCGTGTGGGTTTCAGTGCAACGATATTCTAGTTATATTGTTCTCATGTTGTCTCAACGCGTGTCCTATCCAACACCAACGTCTTTTCTTCACCCCTTGGTCCAGTGGAATTTGTTTAGCTGTCTCCCAAACTATCCGTTAGTGATTCTATCATACCATCTAATTCATTGTATTATGTGCAGACACCAGTTAATGAATGTTTGTAGTTTATTAGTAATTGCCTTAGTTGTTCTCCATGTTTCCGCTCCATTCAAAACTAATTTGACATTAGAGTTACAAATTTTAAGTTTAATATTAGTTTTAATTTCTTTTGACCTCCACAAATTTCACAGTGCAATGAAAGTTCCTCTTGCCTTTTGCATTCCTTTCATCATATATCTATCGGTTTCCCCAGCTCAAAAAAACATTATTGCCTAAATAGGTGTACAACTCCACATCTCGGAGTGGGATATCATTTGTAAGGACCATCACCACACATTGTACTCATTTGTCAGGACCATCACCACACACTGTACTCGTTGGTCAGGACTATCACCTTACATTGTGCTCATTTGTCAGGACCATCACCTTACATTGTACTCATTTGTCAGGACCATCACCATCCATTGTACTCATTTGTCAGGACCATCACCTTACATTGTACTAGTTTTTCAGGACTATGAACAATCGTTTGTCCGGATCATCCCCACACATTGTACTCGTTTGTCCGGATCATTCCCACACATTGTACTCGTTTTTCCGGACCATCACTACACATTAGACTCGTGTGTCCGAACCATCACCACACACTGTACTAACTTGATAGAAATATTCCGACGAAGGGATTGCAAAACTTCTCAATGTAGGGGAACAAGAATAGACAGACTGCGTTCCCAAAAAAGCATGTCGTAGGTGCCGACTAAATGGGGGTTTCCATCAAAGTCGGAGTGCATTAGCCAGAGAGGCAAGCAAGCAACAGTCTGCATATAAATTTGTCAGACCTGTAAAATGTGTATGCACGCGGCACTCCTATTCTGGAAGATGTCTAGAGGTGGAAAAACAACCAAATCTTTCCGCCTGAGTTAACAGACACTAACCGAGAAGAGCCGAGAAGAAGAAAAAGAAGAAGAAGAAGAAGAAGAAGAAGAAGAATAAGAAGAAGAAGAAGAAGAAGAAGAAGAAGAAGAAGAAGAAGAAGAAGAAGAAGAAGAAGAAGAAGAAGAAGAAGAAGAAGAAGAAGAAGAAAGACAAATATCCGAACAGACAGACAGACAGAACACCATCTAGACAGACAAATATCTAGACAGACAGACAGAA